TATTTTTCAATTGAATGATTTTAGCACTCTTATGAAAAGGCAATTGATCATAACAGTGTTGGACTATCACTACACTTTCAATTCTATTGTCTTGATCTATAACTATTGTTACACTAGTATCCCACTGCCTTGAGTACTGTAGCTTTGTTGTAAGTTTTGAAATTTGGAAGTATGTGCTCCAAATTTGCTCATCTTTTTCAATATTGTCTAGCTATGTAGGACCATTTTCAATACTTTGCAAATTTTAGGATTATTTAGTCCATTTATGCAAAATGTGCAGTGGGACTATTTAGAAAGATTGTATTTACTCTGTAAGTGAATTCAAAGAGTACAGACAGCTTACTTAGCAATGTTAAGTCTTCCAGTGCATGAATATAAGATATATTTATTTAAGTCTTCATAAAATTATTTGGAGTTATTTTTGTACACATCTTGAATTTGTTTTTTTTAATATAAAATAACTCCTATTTCTCACCAATAAAAGGAGCAAAAGCTAGATATGTAAAAAGGAATAGAACAGTAATTTCTCCAATAAATATTACATACATATGTGTATATATATATATATGTGTGTGTGTATATATATATATATATATATATATATATACACACACACATATATATATATATACACATATGTATGTAATATTTATTGGAGAAATTACTGTTCTATTCCTTTTTACATATCTAGCTTTTGCTCCTTTTATTGGTGAGAAATAGGAGTTATTTTATATTAAAAAAAACAAATTCAAGATGTGTACAAAAATAACTCTAAATAATTTTATGAAGACTTAAATAAATGTATCTTATATTAATGCATTGGAAGACTTAACATTGTTAATTAAGCTCTCTGTACTCTTTGAATTCACTTACAGAGTAAATACAATCTTTCTAAATAGTCCCACTGCACATTTTGCATAAATGGACTAAATAATCCTAAAATTTGCATAGTATTGTAAATGGTCGTACATAGCTAGACAATATTGAAAAAGATGAGCAAATTTGGAGCACATACTTCCAAATTTCAAAACTTACAACAAAGCTACAGTACTCAAGGCAGTGGGATACTAGTGTAACAATAGTTATAGATTAAGACAATAGAATTGAAAGTGTAGTGATAGTCCAACACTGTTATGATCAATTGCCTTTCCATAAGAGTGCTAAAATCATGCAATTGAAAAATATTAGTCTTTTCAATGATTGATGCAAGATTACTGACTACCAACCTTACACCACATAAAAATAAAAAAATCAACTCAAAAGAAATCCAAGATCTTAATACAATAGTTTAAAAATGTAACTTTCTTAAAAGGAATGTAAGTATACATTATAGTCTCGGATTAGGCTATGGTTTCTTAAATATGACACCTAAAGCTAAAGCAATACCAAAAAAAATCAACGTGTGACTTTATCAAGATTACAACAATCGTGTACAGAGGATACAAGCAAGAAAGTTAAAAAATAACCCAGATGATTAAAAAATAGCACATCATATATCTAATAGGGGTCTACTTATTCTCAAGAACTTACTAGAAAAAGAAACATAAAGGCTTTCAGGAACTTGAATATAACACTGACTCACTCTCTTCTATTTGCTACATGAATAAATATAGATGAGAATTTTGGCTCAAAAATAGTAAAACAATTCAAAACATAAGTGTAAACTTAAATTATGTCCCTGCAAGTCACATCAATTACAGTTGCATTATCAAATATCTTAATGGATTGTTTCAGTCATATTTCTCTAATAGCTTATTACACTTAATATGCAATCCTATATATTTTAGGAGTTTTTTGTAGGTCATTTTTAAAATCTGACCATAAAACTCTTTTTAAAAAGACATTAAATATATGGGTGTGTATGTAACAGTGAGCAGAGAAAAGGATTAAGAATTATTTTAAAACCTTTTTCATTTATCCCAAATATCCAGAGGTTTAAGAGTTCTCCTCACCTGGTGTTTCTCAATATTCTGGAGTCATCTCCCTGCATCTTAGATTCAGT